AATTAAATAAATAAATAAATAAATAAATAATAAAAATAAATAAATAAAATAAAATAAAATAGGGAGCGTAGCCTTGTTTATCTCAGTGGGTCCAATGTAATCATAAGGACCCTTAAATGAGGAAGACGAAGGCAGAAGAATGTAAGAGTGATGGAATGTGAAAAAGACTTGACCAGCCATAGCTTGCCTTGAAGATGGAAGGGGGTCAAAAGCCAAGCAATGTGGGCAGTCTCTAAAGGCTGGAGAAGGCAAGAAAACAGATTCTCCCCTAGAAACTCCAGTAAGGAATGCAGTCACGCCAACACCTTGAGATCCATGTTAGATTTCTGAACTGCAGAACTCTAAGATAAATTTGTATTGTTTTAAGTTACCAAAGTTTGTAGTAATTTGTTACAGCAGCAATAAAATACTAAAATAAGAATCTCAATGCAAAGAATGTAAGAGAAATTGAAAAAATCATAAAAATTAATTTGATGGGCAATAACGGTTTTAATGGATCACTACAGTACTCAAGCTGGAGAAAGATGGGCTCTGTGAATTCTCAGCCCACTCCCATGGTTTTTCTCCCAGTGTTACCTAACCCCATAGTACCCCCTTCTAGCAATTTACCACACCTGGCAGTCTTCACTATATCCCACCCTGCTCTGCTCTAGTTTCATGGGAAGGATATATACTAAAATTCTTGAAGTTCACTTATATTTCAGTTCATACATATTGCTATTTTTATACAAACCTTATTTTCTAATAACAACGAATAATATTTTGAGTCCCCATTATACCTATTACAGACTGTCTTATCAATAAAAATATATGATACAGTCATTTTTACTATAATGGTTATTTGTGAATTTGTTTCAATGTGATTAAAGTATCAGGAAATAATTGGGCATAATGCAAATCTCTCCCTTACTTACACACAATTTCCCTGTGAGAAACACTAAGTGAATGCAGAAAACTGCACCCAGTTGAAGTGAGTCACATAAGAATATCAAAAACATGCACTACACCTCAAACATCTTCCACCTTCCCCCACCTGTTATGAGCCACATGAATCCTCATATGGTGTTACAACTATCCATCCTATTCAGATAACTCTCCTTCCACCACATGCCACTACCTTTCCAACATCCACTTCCACAAGCAGATTTCAGAGCTTCTTCCAGGCTAACTGCCATCTGTATTATCATATTCATACACTTCTTAACCAAATAAGATGTGTGAAATGTGCTACCATTTTCATTAGTTACAACCCTTAAGATTACTGGGATTGGTGGGACTCACTGGAGTATTCAGTCCCCTGCCTGTGTGTTGCAGTGACAATCATAAGAAATCTTCAATCTCTGCTTCAATGATGAAGAAACCAAACTCAAGAAACTGCATGGCCCCACATCTAAATAGGTGCTCAATCCAAGGCCCCAGAAGAGACTCAATGGCAGTATTAGCTATAGAAATGAGAAAGACCACACCAAGTCTCACTTCCCTCCTCTTTACCTGTGTTTGATTTAAAACCTACATATATACCCCACTGCTGCCCACATGTGTACTCCTACTATTGCCTGGACTTCACTGATGAGGCTGGATCTCTAGACAATGACCCACCTACTTCATTTTTTCAGTCTGTCTTTCCCTCTAATTTGAGGCAAAATTCTGGACTCTGACCTGGACTGTATGCCCCAGTGGTGCTTTTCTATACAGTCACCCACATGCTGGCATAATTTAGATGTACAAAGTATGGATAGACTTGGAAATCCTTAGCACCTATAGGCTCAAAATCCCTCTCATTTCATGTGCTTTGACTGCTACTGCTCAGGGACCAGACATGACATTAAACCCCCTAAGTCTAAAGGCCAATAGGTCCAAGAATCATAATACTGGAGAGTTCATCAAGGTTGTACTATTCCTATGTTTCAAGATCATAATCATCATTACTTAGTAAAGTGACCACCCACATCCTCCACATCATTTAATCAACTATCCTCTGCTAAAGTGTACCATCTCATAACAATTTTACTATTAGCCTATAAGCCTCAACAACAGTAGTCATTCCATATTTCATTTCCAGAAACCTATTTTCCCATCCAAGAGAGGACCAAGTTGGCCTCCTGGTAAGGTCAGACAGTAAACAAGCACAGAGGCTGTGGTAGTAGTTTTGAAAGGCAGGTGGCCCCAAGACAAGGAAAAGCATTTGGGACTTACCCACAGGCCTGGTCATTGCAGGAACTGGCAAGAAAACTGAAAGGGACCATTAAATTTGGGGTAAGTCTTGGAGAAGGTATAACACATCTCTGTTGCCAAACATGAATTTAGGGGGAAAAAAGACACTTACCTTCTTACAGTTTCTTTTGCATACATCAGTTTCTAAGGAAAATAAAGATATAAAAATAACTGTATAAGTTAATGACAGTTATTAAGCAGTAAATAAAATTTATTGCATAGAGAACACACATGCCCTAACATTCTAGAATCTATGTTGTTATTCCCTATGGTTAGACAAATAGTAAAAGCAAAGTACTAATGATGCCAAGCTTGTTTTGTGACTGAGGGACTATCTCGACAGTCTGTTTATGTGCCCAAAAGTTCCTGTGCTCTCTCTTAATGGGCACAGATTAGCACACTTTACCTGCTAATCATTCCAAAAAACCTATAAATTAGAGATTGGTAGACTTTTACATTAACCTTCCATAGATTAAAGTATTTCATGATCTAACATATTTATACAAACTCTTACCCTAGAATAATGTAAACATGAGGATAAAATAACTACTAAATATATTTCTCCAGAATTCGGACAAAAACATAAGTTGTATCAATCATTGAATTATTCCTCTGGGGCATTCAAAGGCAAACTGTCCCCAAGTTTCCTCTAAATCAGTGGCTCTAGTCTGAGACGAATATGATAAAAAGAACACTAACTTAGAATCAGAAGACCTAGCTTTAAGTCCCATTTTCTCTTGCTTAGCTATGGAGGCAAACTCCCTAATCTCTCTGGTGCTGGTCTTCAGTTCCCTCATCTGTAAAATGGAGATACTATTACTTAAATAACTCTCATGATATTTATAAATAACTCACTGCTACTCTATCTACAGAGTCTTCTAGATAATCTCACACATTCTTATGGTTTCAATTACTACCTCAAGGCTGGTGATTCCTGTAGCTATATCTATAACCCAAACCATTCTCCTTAGCTTCATAGCTAAATATCAATCAATTTACATTTCACAGATGGCTCAAACAACACAATCAAACATGAACTAATTCTCCCACCTAACAATGACAAAGTTTCTTGTCTGCCAGACTTCTTTGCCATAGTCCTCCACGCTAGAAACTGGGAGATTTCCTGGGCCATTCCTTCACCCTACCATACTCCCATTCACTCCCTCACGGAGTCCTATCAATCTTTCTTCTTACCTATGTCCCTCCTACTCCCTTTCTCTATTTCATGGTGTAAGTTAGGACTCTCATCCCCTCAGGCCTGGAGTGGTGACCAGTCTCTCTGACACAGTCTTGTCCCCTCTAATCCATCCTATGGTATACAGAAACCATAACGACCTTTTAAAAATTCAAAACTGCAATCAGCCCCTGTGAATAGCCTACTTACAATCCTTCATGATTTTCTATCATCAGGAGTTAAATCCAACCTTGTTAAAGTATCCACTCTTCCAGTCTGATCTCCTGTCACCTCTTGGTCTACCTTTCTGATACACTGGCCCAAGCCATTCCCTACAAACACATGGCTCATGCTGTCTCTTCTGTCTAGAATATCCATCCCAAACTCCTCCTCATTTAGCTAACATGTACTTGTTATTTAAGACTCAATCTAGGCAACACATCACCCTCTTTGTCTGAATGCCCTACTAAATAATAGTAGAAAGTATATTTCCTATGCCTTCAAATATTAAATCACTGGAAGTCCCACTGGCAAAAGAAACCTTCCAGTGTAACACCACAAGAGGCTGTTGTTATGGTAATACTAACTCTGCATCATATATATTTGCTGCTCTACAGGCTAATCCTATCAATCATTGAATTGTGGACACACAGAGATGAACAACGCTGACATAAATCTGTACATATATGTGTGTATGTGTATTTAATTAAATAAGTAATCCATATTAACCACTGCAATTTGCAAACCTGGTAACAATTGGGAAGGGAGGCTCAACCATATAGGGGTAAGAACATAAATTTTGGGAAAGAGAACTGGGTTTGGATTTAAGTGCCAATACATCCGGTTTTGTGATCTAGGATAAGGAATTTAATAAGTCTGATGCTTAATGTTCTCAGTATAAACTGGGGACATTATTTCTCCTTGTACAGTTGCTGTTTATGAGATACAAGGTTTTCCATGGGCTTAATACATGGCCTGAACATGGCAGATATTGCACATAACGTAACTACTCTCATAATTATTAATTCTGAGCAGTTAAAAATGTTTCAGAAGAAAAATATATATTACCTTGGCTTAAAATGTAAGGTGTCATGATTAAAAGTTGAGTTCATTCTAAAACACACAAAAGCCTGCACACCTTCAAAATGTTTATAACCCTGCAAAATTTGTCTTGGGTCCACCCATGTTTACCAGACCATCCTTATTTCTCTAACTTGCCTCCAATTTGTGAGATCATTCCTTTGAAGGAACAAATGTTAAAAGAAATTAGTAACATGCCTCTACTAGTAACACAATTTTTAAAGTAGAAAAACTAGGCCAATATACTGTATTACTTTAGGATGTTCTAGTCTAACATCAAACTAAGAAGCTTCTATACAGCCAAGGACACCATCAGTAGAACAAAAAGATACCCTACAGTATAAGAGAATATATTCATAAACGACATATCTGATAAGGGGTTAACATACAAAATATATAAAGAACTCACATGTCTCAATACCCAAAAAGCAAATAACCCAATTAAAAAATGGGCAGAGGATGTGAACAGACACTTCTCTAAAGAAGAAATTCAGATGGCCAACAGGCACATGAAAAGATGCTCCACATCACTAATCAGGGAAATGCAAATTAAAACCACAATGAGGTATCACCTCACACAAGTTAGAATGGCCAACATCCAAAGACAGACAACAACAAATACTGGCAAGGATATGGGTAAAGAGGAACTTCCTACACTGCTGGTGGAAATGTAAATAAGTTCAACCATTGTGGAAAGCAGTATGCAGGTTCCTCAAAAAACTAAGAATAGAAAGACCATTTGACCCAGGAATTCCACTCCTAGGAATTTACTCAAAGGAAACAGGATCTCAGATTCAAAAAGACATATACACTGCTATGTTTATCGCAGCACTATTTACAATAGCCAAGACTTGGAAGCAACCTAAATGTCCATCAATAGATGAATGGGTAAAGAAGATGTGGTACATATACACAATGGAATATTATGCAGCCATAAGAAGAAAACAAATTCTGCCATTTGCAACAACATGGATGGAGCTGGAGGGTATTATGCTCAATGAAATCAGCCAAGTGGAAAAAGACAAGTACCAAATGATTTCCCTCATTTGTGGAGTATAACAATGAAGCGAAACAGCGAGAACAAAACAGAAACAGACTCCAAGCAGGAACTAGCAGTTACCAAAGGGAAGGGGTGTGGGAGGGCGAGTGGGGAGGGAGGGAGAAGGGGATTGAGGGATATTATGATTAATACACATGGTGTGGGGGGAATCATGGGGAAGACAGTGTAGCACAGAGAAGACAAGAAGTGACTCTATATCATCTTAATACGCTGATGGACAGGGACTGCAATGGAGTGTGTGTGGGGGACTTGATAATATGGGTGAATGTAATAACCACAATGCTGTTCATGTGAAACCTTCATAAGATTGTATATCGATGATAACTTAATAAAAAAAAGATGTGCTAGTGTAATTTTATTAAGACCAAAAAAAGTAGCTCAGTTATTCAGTCAATAATTTTTTCCTCAGTCTCTCTAAAGTATATAATACTTAGCACCAGTATTTAAATACCTTCCATAAAGCTTCTACATTGCAACAAACAGGAATAAAGACATCGCAGCTATTGCTTATAAATTTTTATTTCAACAATTATCTACTACATATGTACTTTATCATGGGAATGCATAAGTGGACAAATATTGTATAATTTTTGTCCATCCCATAGTCTAAAAGAGGAATTAGTATACATAAAAACATATACAACAAATAATAATGAAATATAAAAAGTACATTAAAGAATGAATAATTATGAGATTTCAAAGAATTGTGGGAATAAAATCTGCTAAGCTGGGGGTTGATTCCTCACAAGAGAGGTTACATCTGAACTGAGGACATTTAAGACTTGAACACATGGACAAGAAGATATGAGGCATATCAGATAGTATGATCAATTTACCATATATTTCTAAATTTCATTTTCTTGCCATGAATATATACATACTACTTAAAAAGAGGAAGATGGGCAGGTAATTTGTCTATATGCACGCTATTTACTTTTGGCTAAGAAGAAACAGTCTAAAACAAAGAAAACAAGTAAGCAAACTCATTAATTAGAATCATACTTAACATTTTTTCAGTGAACTATACCTATCTTAATTAGAGTCATTGGTATCTAGTCTGGTAACATGCAAAACTTTGGAAGAATGTTTGACCCTCACAGATTTATATTCTTAGCCAAAATCTTTGCTGAGTGTTATTTTCAAATATACATTTATAAGCAAGCCTGAAGCTCTTACTGAGTTAACATTGTTTATTATAAAAGCCAGAGCTAGGGGTTCAAAGACCCGGGCACACCCTCCGGCAGCTCACTCCGCCTAATGCAATAAGAGTGAATACAGGGATGTGGTGTTTGCTCCTTCTGCCTTTAGGCCTCAGCTGTGTAGACACACTCCTACAACAGTCCAGCAATTCTTTCTCTTGTTGCTGTACTTACCTTCGTAATTAAGTCTCTGTGTTCCACAGACTGACTAAAGTTTGTGCCCATTTCTAATACAGTTGTGATTCCATCCTCACACAAATTCATCCAGTAATGATATTCGTCCTGCCCAGGAAGTCGATCCCAAAAAGTCCTGAAGGCTTCCCAGACAGCTTCCTGACACACTGGAAAACAGACAGAGAAGTGTTTTTATTGAAGCAAATGCACTTTGGGGTTCTCACAATGATCATGGAACTGTTTATTCAGATTTCCAAAGCAGTCTTGCCACAGTGTACTTTCTGTAGGGACATGGGCATGATTCTCCGTCAGAGCCCTTCTGTTTAAGTATGTCTCATTTAAACTTTTCATATCTGAAGAGAATTTGTACTTCCCACTCCCTTCCCTTGCAAAGGGAACTGAGGCAGGATTTTTCCCCATCTCTTAAAAAAAAAATCCATGTTTACGCCTTACAAAAGTGGAGCTGATGTTGAGTATACTCCAATAGGTGAATGGATAAACAAACTGTGGTGCATCAATACGATGGAATGTTATTCGGTAATAAAAAGAAATTAGGTTTCATGCCATGAAAAGATTTAAATGTATATTGCTAAGTAAAAGAAGCCAATCTTAAAAAGCTACATACTCAGTGAGGGCTGTGCAATACAGAGAAGACAAGTAGTGATTTTACAGCGTCTCACTACACTGATGGACAGTGACTAATGGGGTATGTAGGGGGGACTTGGTGTAGTGGGGTGTCTAATAAACATAATGTTCCTTATGTAATTGTAGATTAATGATACCAAAAAAAAAGCTACATATATTATTTCAACAATATAACATCTGGAAAAGGCAAAACTATGGAAATTGTAAAAAGATCAGTGTTTGCCAGTGGTTGAGAAGAGGGAGACATGAAGAGGTGGAGCACAGCACAGTGGACTTTTAGGGCAGTGAAACTACTCTGCATGATACTGTAATAATGAATACATGCCATTACACATCTGTCAAAAGTAATAATATATACAACACAACTCTAGTGTAAGATATGAGCTTTAGATAAGAATAATGTGTCAATATTGGTTCATCATCTGTAACAAATGCACCACACTAATACAAGATATCAATAAGAGAGGAAGATGTGTGTGTCTGGGAGGGTGGCAGTATATACAGGTAACTCTCTGCACTTCAGTTTTTCTGTAAACCTAAAACTTCTCCAAAAAATGAAACATTAATTAAAAAGGATATAAGGACTAAAACTAATAGAAAATGACATTCAGGAGAAATGTACTGCTGTGTTAAAATAGAAATCAATTCAAAATTATTCTAAAACATCAAATCTGAAAGCATGCTAAACAGGCTTGCTGCCCGTTTTGTATGGGACTGAGTGTATTCCCATCCTGTAACTATTTCAGTGGCCACATGCCAGACACTGTGGACATTAGATAGATTGTGATGGGAGGGAAAACAAGAGTGGTGGAGAAATATATAAATGGACAGAGAACAAGGTAATTATTTTTCGTCTCAAGAAGGCTGAATGTTTATCTAGCAGCATATTGAGGTAGAGCCCCTGAACTCACAGTGAGAAGACCTTGGGCTAAAATCTAGCACTAGCCTTACCATGTACTACATAGCTTGATAATCATGGATAACTCATCTACCCATTCAATGCTTCAATGTTCTCCTTTCTCTTTTTTAATGGGATGAAAAATTACTGCCTTATTTTCCTTATCTGTGAAAGTATTTTATAAACTACATAGTGCTACATGAATATCAAATATTATTATCAAATTGGTATCTGGTTGTCTGACAGTTGTTTTATGGAAGAGGAGAGTCCAAGCTAAAAAACAACTCAAGCTTTAACAGAGTGAAATATATGAATTTTCTAAATTTCTCTACCAGTTTATTGTTTCAGAGTTAAACTGAACCTTTGGTTGCAAACTGAGTTTCTCTTTCAGTGAACTAACTGCATTCTTATTACTGCTCTTTGGAACTTTTGATCCAACAGCATAAAAAAAAGCACTGACTGAGGCAGAGCTGACCATTTGTAGATTCACAGTTCTTCCTTTCTTTTTAAAACTTCTAAATTAGTTTTAGTCATACCAGAAAACAGTGCCAAGGTGAAAGTCTGGTTGCTATCAACAAACAAAAAGTGACTGTCTATGAGGCCTGCTTATGAAATGAGGTGATTCAAAGAGAATTCAAAAAACATTTTAAATATGAATAGCTACGTATCTATAGGGAAAAAATAAATCTCAATAACTTCTTCACATTATACACAAAAAATAGTTTGAAATATGAAAGCTAGTAATATGAAGGTCCTAAAAGAAAACACAGAAGAATAGCTGTATGATGTGAGAATAGGCAAAGATATCAGGCAGTACAAAGAAAGCAACAATTTCAAAAGAAAAAAAGATAAAACTCATAAAAACTAAAAACTTCTGTTCATCAGACACTATTAATAAAAATGAATAGGCAAGCCATACTACTTTTAGCAGAAAATATTCAATATAAATATATCGGACACAGAACTGATATTTGGGATATTTAAGAAATTTCTACAACTCCCTAATAAAAAGGAAAACAATCTAATTTAAAAAACATGCAAAAGACTAGAACAGAAAATTTACAAAGGAAGAGCTACAAATAGCCAATGAGTACGTGAAAAAGTACTTACTATCGTTCATATTCAGAAAATGCAAATTAAAGCACCCACACATGAACCAGAATGACTGAAATTTTTTACATGGATAACACCAAATTTTAGCAAGGATATGGAGCAACCAGAACCTTCAATTTTGGTAAGAGTGTAAAATACTGATAGTTTCCTATAAAACTAAACATACACCAAACTTATAACTCAGCAGTACCCCTCTTAGGTATTTGAGAAGTATACCCACAGAAAGACTTACGTTCAATGCCAGAGCAGCTTTATTCATAACTGAAATATGAAAACAATCCAGGTATCCATCAACAGGAAATTAAATAAACAAATGGTCATACAATGGAATCAAAAGGAACAAATTACTAATTCATGCAAAAACACAGATGAATCTCAAAAGGCTTGAGTGAAAGAAGCCTTACACAAAAGAATAAATACTAGTCTATTTACATAACTCTTAAATGGGTAAAACTAAGCTGTGGTTTAAAAAAATTAGAAAAGTTGTTGCCTGGCGGCTGAAAGGTAGAGGCAGGTTGTCTGAAAAGGAGTATAAGGAAACTTTCTGGGGTGATACTGTCCTAAAATTGAGAGGTTTGGGTTACACCAGAATGCGTGTTAGTCAAAATGTAAGATTATGCATTTCACTCTATGTAAATTTCTCCTTTAAAAAAGTAAACAAATACTAAGCATTCTAAAGTGTCTAGAGGGAAATGTATTGATATTTTTAACTTATGAAATATATCTAAGAAATAGGGTGGTTGGATAATACGTGATGAAGCAAATATAAAATGTTAATCATAGAGCTATGTGGTTAATATGGTGTTCGTGACACAATTCTTTCAACTATTCTGTGTGTTTAAAAGTTTTCATACTCTTAGAACAACATTATTATGTGCTGAATAAAAGCTGGAGCATCCAGAAGCGATAGAAATTCTATTAGGTTTCACAGTAGGCCTTCTCTTGGCCTCTCTCATAGATTCACAGAAGAATAGCAAAGCTGTCTCCTACAAATTATGCTTTGGGGGATGTCCCCCACCAACTACATAAAGGTCTAAGTAGTTCAATGTTTGATCCAAAATATCTTCATCAGTAATATGTTCTTTTAAGTTAAGCCTAATCATTTTCTATCTAGCAGTCTATATTAAAATACAATTCCCAGAGTTCTATTTCAAGCATGAGTATAGGGAGTTAGTTATATGGACTCACTTCCCAGAAAAACTGGTGAAAATTATCTTAAAACCAACCATTTAAGTTCTCTGGAAACAGTCCTAAGGGCATACAACAAGTGAGGAAGCATTTATTTAGGAAAATCTACTAAACCTCAGTAAGGAAAGTTGGGGAGTAAGTGGTTTTAGCCAGGGCAATTAGGTAAGAAAAGAAAAGGCATCAAAATTGGAAAGGAAGAAGTAAAATTATCTCTATTTGAAGATGACATGAGCTAAGAAATCTACTTAACAACTATTAGAGCTTAAGAGGTAAGCTCAGCAAGGTTGCAGTGTCAAGATCAATATACGAAAGTCAGATGTGTGTATATACACTAATAAATCAAAAATGAATATAAGAAAACAATTCCATTTACAAAAGCATTAATATACGAAAGTCAGATGTGTGTATATACACTAATAAATCAAAAATGAATATAAGAAAACAATTCCATTTACAAAAGCATGAAAAACAATAAAATACTTAGGAATAAATTAACAAAGTACAAAACTTATACTCTGGAACCAAAAAAAAAAAAAAGTTGAAAAATTGAAGAATATCTAATAAATGGAAAAACTTTCCAAGTACATGAATTGTAAGACAAACTGTTAAGATGGCAGTATCTCCAAACTGACCTAAGATTCAATGAAATTCTATCACGACACTGGCTGACTTCTTTATGGAAACTGAGCAGTTAATTCTAAAATTCATATGGAATTGCAAGGGACCTGGAATAGCCAAAACAATTTTGAAAAAGAAGAACAAATTGATAAATTGGACTTACAAAAATCAAAAAGTTTTGTGAATGAAAGACACCATCAAGAAATTGAAATGACAATGCACAGAATGAGAGAAAAATACTTCATTTTTGATAAAGGATTTGTATCCAAATATATAAGCAACTCTTACAACACAATAACAAGACAACCCAACTAAAAAAACAGGCAAAGGATCTGAAGACTTTCTTTGAAAGGAGATACTCAAATGACCAAAAAGCATATAAAAAGATGTTCAACATTATCAGTCATTAGAGAAATGCAAATCAAAATTACAAGATAACCACTTCATGCCTACTAGGATGGCTATAGTTTTTTTAAAAAAGGAAAATCATAGTGCTGACAAACATATGGAGAAATCAGAACCCTTATACATTGCTGGTAGGAATGTAAAATGGTCTCCAGCTACTTTGGGAAACAATGTGGCAGTTTCTCATATGGTTAAACATAGAGTTACCATATGACCCAGAATTCTACTACTAGGTATATACCCAAGAAAAATGAAAACAACCCAAATGCTCACCAACTGACTGACAAATGGATAAACTAAATGTGGTATATCCATATGATAATATTATCATTTGGCCATAAAAAACAATAAACTACTGACACATGCTACAACATGGATGAACCTTGAAAATATTATGCTAAGTGGAAGAAGCCAGTCACAACAGACTACATATTATATTATGTTATTTATATGACATATCCACAACAGGCAATTTTATAGAGACAGGAAGTAAATTGGTGGTTGCTTAGGCCTGGGGAAAGGACTAGTGGAGGTTGAGGGATAATAAAGTGATAGCTAAAGGGTACAGAGTTTCTTTTTAAAGTGATGAAATGTTCTCAAACTGAGTTTCGTGGTGGTTGCATGTTTGTGAATATACCAGAAAACAACTGAATTTTGTACTTTAAATGGATGAATTTTATGGAATGTGAATTATATCTCAGTAAAATTGTAAAAACTGAAATTTCCTCCAAGGAAGGTAGTATGCTTAATTTATCCAATGGCTTTCCAATTGGGAACTATACGACAACTAACTAACTAACTTGGAATAATAGCATTCAGAACAATTACATATTTTGATAGAGGAGAAATGCAGGGGAACCTGGAGCATTCAGGTAGCACAGACAGAGGAAACCTAGAGAGGACACTACAGGCAGCAGAGAGAAGAGCAGAATCAGCACAACTCCAGGGAAAGGGGTACTAAGGAAGGCAAAACTCCACCACAGAGAAATGAAACACACTTCACCATGTGGCATACAAGTAGACCTGTTCATTAGTCCTGTCATTCTCAATTTTCATGTAGCCTTTAGTTACTGCTGAAGATAACTTTCTACTTTGAAAGGATAACTAATCTATAAATTTTTCTCTTCTGGCAGATAAAACCTGTGCTGGAAACTGGTGGAGAAAAGGAAAATGTGACAACAATATTCCAAAGAAGGAAACGCCAGTGTTTAATCTGTCTTTAATCCTGTTACTAGGGCTCAGGCTGTGCATCCTATCCATTATACAGAAATCCAATATGGAGCAAAGTGTTTTTTTAGGGTAATGTATTTTCCTTTCAGAATTGTGGAGCCCAAAGCATGTGGAACAGTCAATAATGTGCAATAAGGCAAGAAAAAGAAATAAAAGTCATATAAATTAGAAGAAGTACAACTATGTTTATTTGTAGATGAAATAATTATCTATGTAGAAAACCCTAAGGAATATACAAAAAGAGTTGCTACAACTAGTGAGTGAATTTAGCAAAGTTACAGAATAAAAGGTCAACATACAAAAATATGTGTATGTATTAGTAAAGAACAATCAGAAACTAACTTTTGTAAACCACCATTAACAATAGCATAAGAAAAGTTAAATAGATCAATCTGATAAAAAGATATGTACGATACACTAAAAATTACAAAACATTGCTGAGAAAAACTGAAGAAAACCTAAATAAATGGAGGAATATATCATTCATAGACTAAGACTTGATATTGTTCAAATGACAATTCTTCCCAAATTGATTGACTCAACAAAACCCCAATAAAAATTCCATCAGCTTTTTTTACAAATTGGCAAGCTGATTCTAATACATGTGTATATGGAAGACAAAGTATTTAACATAACTGTTTCAAACAAATCTGAAAAAGAATGAAGTTGAAGAACTTACACTATCTGATTCAAAGACTTATTATAAAATTTTCAGTAATCCAGACAAAATGGTCTTGGTGTAAAAATATACAAATATATCCATGGAAGAGAATGAAGAGTAAAGAAATATACCCACCACATACAGAAAACTGATTTCCAACAAAGGCACAAATGCAAAAAAGGGTAATCTTTTTAAGAAATGATGCTAGAACAAATGGCTATGCATATGCAAAAATTCTAACTTTGATCCGTATACATCACATACAAAAATTAACTCAAAGTAGATCATGGACCAAACATAAGACCTAAATATTATCCAGCTTCTTCAGGAATAGATAGGAGAGAATCTTTATGACTTTAGGTAAGACAAACTTAGACCCAACACCAAAAGCAAGCATGATTAAAAAAAAAACCAAAAACCTGATACATTGGACTTTATAAAAATTTAAAACTTTGGTTCTTCAAAAGACATTAATAAGAAAATAAAAAGACACACATTTGGAGAAAATGTATGCAAAACATGTATCTGACAAAGAACTTGGATTTATGATATATTAAGGATTCTTACACCTCATTAATAAGACAAACCCAATTGTTTTTTAAATAAGAAAAATATATGAAAAGACTCTTCACCATAAAAGATATACAAATGGCAAATGAGCACATGAAAAAGGTGCTCAATATCACTAGTCATTAGTTATTAAGTGCATTAAAACCACAAATATGATATCACGTCATATCCACTGGAATGGTCACAGTTAAAAAAGACTGACTATACCAATGTTGCAAAGATGTAGAGAAACTGGAATCCTAATACAAAATACCACCTAATGCTGGTGGTAATACCACATTAGAAAACAGCTTGGCAATTTCTTAAAAAGTTAAACCTACACCTACTAGGGGACCCAGCCATTCCACTCCTACTAATGAATAGAAATGAAAGCACATGCTCACCAAAAACTTGTACACAAATGTTCATGACAGCTTTCTTTGTAATTATCAGTAACTGAAAATCACCCAAACACTTCCCAAAATGTAGTATATCCATAAAATGGAATACTACCCAACAATAAAAGATAACAAACTCATGATACAAAAAAATCATGGGTGAGTCTCAAAATAATTACAGAGTAAAAGAAGCCAGATTAAAAAGGAGTACATAGTATGATTACATTTGTGTATAAAAGTGTAGAAAGTGCAAACAATACACGGTGGTAGAAAGTAGGTTAGTAGTTGCCTTAGTATTGGAGTAAAGGGAGGTAGGTAGTCAGGAAGGGATGAAAAGATTATAAAGGCACAAGAGAAAATGTTTGGGAGTGATTGATAAATTCATAATCTTAATTGAAGAAATGATTTCAAGGGTAAATACATTTGTCAAAACTGCACACTTTAAATATGTACAGTTTATAATCCATCAAAGTGTACCTTAATAAGGCTATTATTTTAAAAGGTCCAACTTCAAATATGATTTTTTACTATTAATTATATTCTACTCCAAGCACCCTAAATATCTATTTACTTTGACAAATCATTAGGTTAAATGCAGTTGCTTCTTGCTTAAATAGAGATATTTTCAAATTACACCAACTAACAACTGATGCCAAATTCTCTATAAGGAAAATTGGGCAAACCATGAGATCGAATTAGCTTGGTGAAGAGGTAAGGTTCTTAGTTGCATCTCTCCCTCCAATTTCTAAACATTTGATTCTAAGAGTGTAATACAATTATCTCTTCAAAATCAAAACCTATGTTGAAATATTCATTTATCCTAATTTTAAAAAACATAACAATTTAAATATCTCCTCTTTACAACAGTAATTGCTGCCTGTATCAACATTGCTACAATCTTGATACGCTTTGCCAATCTTGTTTAGCTTCACCGGGTCCCTTTCGAATGATCCCAATTCATAGCATCTGCATTTTAAAGTCAGTTACTCTAGAAATTAATTTTTCTTTTGTTGGCTTCTTTTTCAATTGCAACTTTTCAGCTTATAAACATAAAGGTAAAGCGATTAAAAGGAATAATCACATTCCTTAAATGATTGGTTATTTCCTGTTCCCTATTTAACCAGCAGCTATCTAGATATTCAGCTCTATTTTTAAATAATATAAAGTAAAATTCAAGGTAGCAGAAATCATTTTGGTACATCTTAAACTGTCATTCATCTTCAGTTCCTCTGTTCTCTTCTCACTCTGTGGAATTTAATTCTGGCATACGCCCTATACACAAAAGGCTTAAAGTATTTCCATTTAAAAAGTAAAAGGAAAGCTAACTGCTTCATACTGTTTTGACAGCCCCAAAATAAAGTCAAGAGATATAAATACACTCCAAAAAAAAAAAAATTAAGGTAATACATTGTGCCACTTTAACAAACAAATCAACTATAGAAATAAATGTATTATCTGGTATTAAACTTTTTATTTTAAAAGTACTTGCTTTGGTGAGGGAGAAGGTGGGGAATTACAAGATAGAGGAAAATAAAAGAGGAGAAGCTAATGCGGCAGCTCAGACTGAAGGTTCATATAGACTAGTTCCGGGAAAAAAGTAAGTGTTCAGTAAATATTTGTAGACTAAATAGATGAATGAACAAGTCTGATTTCACTTTAGTTCACTAGCCTCACATCCATTTTATGGCTTTTTATTGGCTCTTAAACAGCAAGGAGCAAAATTTGGGAATCTTCCAAGTATTTAAGAGACTTATGGTCAAAAGCAATTTTGGTTAGTAAATACAAACAACATGGAATGAATTCACATAATAAAAAGGTATGAGATCAAGGATACTACTATTTAATTAAAACTAAAATAAAATCCCAGTTTTGTTGTTTTAGGGTCCACTGTGAGAAGTGCCATTTTTCAGATGTAGAAAGTTTTATGTACCAACTAGAGACAAACTAGCATGAGTCTGCAGAATGTCTAAACTATAGAGAAACTGATTATATTTTCACGTACACAAAATGACTAATTAGCCATATTGGTAAATATACCTTGGTAAATATATTCTGTGTGTATATTTTGGGAAAATTGCTATGATGAAGTAACAATTATAACTATAACAATTATAATTTATCCAAATAAATAAACTCGCATTTAACCATTTAAATTTAAACCATTTCCTCTCTTAAAATAATATAAAACTTTCCTCTGAAGCTATATAATTAATGATACTCTTAGCAAGTCCCCTTTCCATTGGTAGTAGAAAGGTAATATTTGGCTCAGTCTCTAAGTCATCACAAATGTTGAATTACTATGAGATACAACAAATGCATTAGAACCACGTTTGAATTTCATCATGCAGCCCAAGAGATTAGATGTTTGCTTACCTCGGACTTTAAAATATTTCACATGGTTCGCCACAGCCTCTGTAACACTTTCACCTGGGCAGGTTTTCACAGCATTAGAAAACAGAGGAGATCGTTTTCTTCTGAGCAGCCACTGTCTTTCAGCCTCTCTGTGGTCCAGAGGTGGTTTCTTTTCAGCAGATAGAGAATTGTCTGTGGATTCCAAATCAGTCAGGAGAAAAGTAACTGCAACCCTGGGTTCCTGGATCTCTTCTAAAGGTAAGTAGGTTTGTGCTACATAATGAAAGCATAAACAAGACTTCTGACAATGCATATAGATATTGAAGGGTAACAAGTAAAGAAAAACTGACATTTGTGCAACATTTGGATTTTGAGGTCACTGCTCAGATGATAGACACATGTACCTATGGAGGAGAAGAAGCATTCAATCTTTCCTCCATTTAACTCCTACTCCTTTATTTCAAGATTGTTGGTTACTGAAGTCAAGTATACATCCAATTTCAACACAAGAAATAAGAAGTAAGGTCTGAACCATGAATTACTAATGTAGAGAAAAATCAGAATTATGGAGAGATTTTGAGAGTTTAAATAAAGCAGGATCAAAGATTGATATAGTATTTGATTCCACTTCTTACAGCAGTCATATCAAACAGTGTCATTTTTAGAGAGAACATACTATAGACATATGGAAAAATAGAAACAGTGTAGATTTTTAAATACCTGTTAATGATGGAAGGCTTTCTTCTATCAGGACAAATATCAAAATACCCAGAGAAATCTTCTCAAAATAAGGAAACATAATCATTTGGATCAAAACAAAAGAGAAGCCAAAATCCTTAACTGAACACCCAAAGCCTTGAAACTTCCAATAACAAATTGTTATAGGAAAACACTAACATTTAAAAGTTTGTTGGAGAACTGACAACCATTCTAAAACCATTATAAATTAGCTTAAATAAAAATGGTGTCCTTTCCAAGAACCTCTCACTTCTTTTCTAAAATAACCATCATGCTGTGAAAGCAGGAGATAAGCTAATTGGAACAGATGGGGAGAGACAATTTCTTTATTCTAATCTAGCCAGCTAAGCTCTTTACTAACACTCTCCTTGCCTTTAACACGCAGTCCACTTAAACATGTTTCACAATTCACTGTTTTTTATATGCAATTTTTTATTAAGGTATTATTGATATACACTCTTACAAAGTTTCACATTAAAGACAATGTGGTTACTACATTCACCCATATTATCAAGGCCCCCCCCCATACCCATTGCAGTCACTGTTCATTAGTGCAGTAAGGTGCCACAGAGTTCCTACTTGTCTTCTCTGTGCTAGCTACTGTCTTCCCCATGATCCCCCCCACACCATATGTACTAATAATAATATCCCTCAATCCCCTTCTCCCTCCCTCCCCACTCACCCTCCCGCACCCCTTCCCTTTGGTAACTGCTAGTTCCTGCTTGGAGTCTGTTGCTGTTTTGTTCCCACTGTTTCACTTCATTGTTATACTCCACAAATGAGGGAAATCATTTGATACTTGTCTTACTCTGCCTGCCTTATTTCACTTAGCATAATACTCTCCAGCTCCATCCATGTTGTTGCAAATGGTAGGATTTGTTTCTTTCTTATGGCTGAATAATATTCCATTGTGTGTATGTGCCACCTCTTCTTTATCCACTCATCTACTGATGGACACTTAGGTTGCTTCTGTGTCTTGGCTCTTGTAAATAGTGCTGCAATAAACACAGGGGTGCATATGTCTTTTTGAATTTGAGAACTTGTATTCTTTGGGTAAATTCCTAGGAGTGGAATTCCTGGGTCAAATGGTATTTCTATTTTTTGAGGAACCTCCATATTGCTTTCCACAATGGTTGAACTAGTTTACAATCCCACCAGTGGTGTAGAAGGGTTCCCCTTTTTCCACATCATCACCAGCATTTGTTGTTCCTAGTCTTTTTGATGTTGGCCATCCTAACTGGTGTGAGGTGATACCTCATTGTGTTTTTAATTTGCATTTCCCTGATAAGTAGCAATGTGGAGCATCTTTTCACAAGCCTGTTGGCCATCTGAATTTCTTCTTTGGAGACACAATTCACTGAGTTTTACAATTTTTCCCGAAACTATTAGTCGAAACCGACACACTAGATAAATCTTATCTATAGATAGAATTCATCTATCAGGTTCGACTAGATTTACATGTTCTGGGTTCTTCTAGACCCTCTGATTTGTAAGCATAAAATACCCAGGCTGACTGTAACTATCTACTTCATAAATACAGAGCTACATAGAAAACAAAATTAGTTTTCTTGGAACTGTTTCTATTTGTAATAAAGCTACTGTCTTGTAAATGCCCCTGCTTAATAAAAAATTTGAAAATCTTTCACTATATCCACTATGTCTCCTACCTTTTCTATAGAATAGGAAAATAGGAAAGCTAACTTATGATAGAGCTATTGTGAGGATTTAGTTAAAACACAGAAGATGCTTAGAATAGCCTGGCATGTACTAAGCACACAATATAAATAATGTTATGTGATAACTTTGTTGCTTAATTTGCTATTAGACATGAGGCCCAGTGTGTTTATCAACATGAGGAACTCTTAACCAAGAAGGGATATCCTTTGCCACAACGGGACCAGATAAAATTATTTGTATTAGAGTAGCTACTTTTATCAAATAAACCTTGTAGAAAGCAATTCAATTAGTCAAAAATCCTCACAGAGGCTAAGGATTTACTATCAAATAGCAATAAATTTGTACTTTATGTCATGTGCCTCTGTTAAAAAAAAAAAGTTTTGTAAAGATCTAAAGCACATTCATTTCTCTTGAGACTCCTAAGCTAGTCCTGATCCTGATTTCTTGAGCCCTCAAAAAAGGGTTGCACTCAATTATAAACAGAGAAGAGACTACCTGGGTGGGTAGAGACCACACCAGAATAAGAAAGCCTCATTTCACAGAACCATGACTTTAACAGCCCCTGAGCAAAGCTTCTAAATTTCCACAAGGACAATCTCAGTTATGAGAGACTCTAGAGGGAAGCGAAGGCCAATGTTTACCAACAGGTAAATATACTTGCTTTCCCAAACCAACAGGGTTTCATACAACTCTGGTCAAGAAGGTCTTTTCAGAGTATACACTTCTACTCACAGTTCTCCCAATCCAGAAACATTTCAAGAATTGGAGGTCATTTTCACAACAAAAAAATATTAAGTACAGCTGTCATTTTGCACTTAGTTTAGTTCAGTGAATTTCCAAAGAAACAGTATTGAAAAAAAGAAAACCCAAGACAATTTTCTATGAAGAAATAACTTAAGCCAAAAGTAATTAAAGCATAAATGAATAATTCTACATAATTAAAAAGTGAGTGACAGTGGAAACATGAGGATGGAATGAATATAGATTGGAACCAGATTAGAAACGGCTCTATATGACAAGTCTAGGCCTATTTTTCCCCCTAACAAAAACAGAAAAGAAGCTGATTTTAAGAGGTATTAGACTTTTTCTAAGTCCTTGTTAGGTAATTGGATATGACTTAAAAAATACATATATATCACTTTTTTTTTTTTAATCCCAGGAGTTGTGAATTAGAAATAGTATTATCTTCTTGAGGAAGTGTTTCCCTGTCCACTGACAAGCCTCTTCCTACTTACCTCTCTACCACCTGTCACTACACCACACACACACACACACACCACACACACACAGACACACACACACTCACACACACACACACACACACCGCCCCCAGAATGAAGTCCCAAAGAAACTCTATGGTTGTTTTTACCAGAGAATATTAACTGCTCATATGTCCATTTCTTCCTACTTACCTCTCTACCACCTGTCACTACACCACACACACACACACACACACCACACACACACACACACACACACACACACACACACACACACACACACACCGCCCCCAGAATGAAGTCCCAAAGAAACTCTATGGTTGTTTTTACCAGAGAATATTAACTGCTCATATGTCCATTTCTTCCATTAGACTATAAATGACTTACAAATAAGTTGGGGTTTTTTCTACCTAGCAAATTCCCTGCTAGCAGCAGATGTTCAGAAGTTGTGAACTGAATTGACAATCAAATTAACTACATGCCTGTTAAAGTAGGAAGAAAAATTAATCTAAACACCAGCAATATGATATGCACTGGGCATCATACAATTTAAAATTTATTTCTAAGCATGGCTGGCATTTCTTTAAAAAAAAATTACACCGCAGTTTAATGAACTGGAAACATGTTTAATACAAAATGTTGATATTCTCAAAGCATTACTTCCACATGAATTTAGGAAAATGAATTTTAAACAATCTTCCAAACATGATAAAGGACAGTGGTATCATTGAAAAACATACGAACAAAAAAGTTAAGAAGTCACAAGAAAGTGTATTATACACTTGCTTTCCCAAAATTAGATTTACAAAATTATTAATAGTCATCTAGAAAAGTCCCCTCCCCACACACAAATCAGGAATGAAACATAATTATAACCATCTTTATAGGAAATCTCCAAAAGACAACTATCTTTAACAATATAAAGATGGAGACACGGTTAACAAAAACTTAAGAATGCTGATGACAACCTCAATTCATTTGATTTTGAAATGAAATATTCCAACTTTTCGCTCTATCTGAAATTGTCTTTGCTTCACTGCTTTAGATAGTTATAAATCCAAGAGATGCTTAAGACAGAAGATTAAAATAATAATCTTAAAAAACATTTTTCTTATCTGAGAAAATACAATATAATCAATCATCCCTTCAAAATATTCCTGATAACATTCCTGGGAAGTGTTTAATCATATGAAATACCACCATCATCACATGAATTCATAACTGTTACCTGAACATTTGATAAATAAAAACTTAAATTCCATGGGATCACAGGTCTCTAAAAACTACAATTTGAAAATATAAAACCAATGAGAGTAATCTGTTTATATTTGCAGATGAATATTGGGTAAACAGAGCCTGAAATTGTAAACTTAGTTCTAACAATAAGATTTTGAGGGCATTTTTTCTAAGTTATGAGGACACCAATTTTATCTTTGATACAGAAACTGTGAACATATACTCTGGGATATCAAAATAGGATAGGAGTTGGTATTTATATACAGCCAGACCTCAAATAAATGATGTTGATCTACATATATAATTTTAAGAAATCTATTTTGGGTAACTGAATTTTTTTGTACCAAATTTCACTCTGAATAAATGAACTAAATTAAATGATCAGATCCCCATATATAACATCAAAAGAATGGAAAACAACAATTAGAGCTAACAGTTCCATTTAGCAATTGAGAAAAATAAGCTGTGCTTTGAAAGAGTGAATTTCATCATCTTCCTAACGTCATGTCTTCTTTTATACCATACAGAAGGGATGCCGTAAATGGCATTTTCTGAAGCCTTAATACTAAATTCCTTTTTAAAAAAATACACAGTATTCATACTGCATGCTTGAGCTGCAAAGAACAGAATTACAATATAACGGGACTTGTCAACAAAGCTGACAAGCACTGGGGCTGGCACCAGGGAGGACCTAGCTCCCCTCAACCCTCAGTTACATTGAAGTACAGAATCACGTAGTTGTATTATCTACAAAAACATTCACACATTACATACGCTATTGCATAATCCAAGCATATTTAATAAGAAAAATATCAAATATTTATGAAATTTTAATTTCTATCTAATAATTTTATCTATATTACCCCCACTTCCACTGCAACTATGAGATCCCAACAATTCTAATAATATATCTTATATATTTTAAATAATGTTCAATGACTTATAAAACTACTGCAAGTTATTTTCTCCTCTGTGAGCAGGCTAACACAAATGCTGCTAAGTAGCTTTCCAGTAATCGTATAGAACATCTGTGTCATGTTTGTACAGATTAACTAGCTACTGCTGCCCTTCTGTTGCTGTAAATGAAGTTTCAAAATGAGCTCTCGAATATCTTCTCGTTTGGTCTTTATTACATGACGAGGAAACCATTTCTCCAAATGAATTGGAAGTTCAAAATTAACAATAGGATCCTAATGAGAGAAAAGAAGGAATGCAATCACTTAGCAATATAATTCAAATTAGTGTTAATTTCATTTTTACAAGAAATGAGAAATTGCTAACATTTTTTAACAGCTTTACTAAAACATAATCCAAATACCATATAATTCACCTAAATTATTCAAATGAATGGTTCAGTATATTCACAGAGTTGTGCAATCATCACCACAATCAATTCAAGCCATTCATTAAATTGCTAACTTTTGAATGTCAAAATTAAATATCATCTGTTCTACTGTAATGCCTGTTTAAGTGAATTAGGGCAAACAGAATTGGTAAATAGAGAATAATTCAGCACAATGCAGAAGTCAGATGGGTTTGAATGCAATTTTTTCCAACATGTTAATATTTTGAAACTATTAAAACAAAAAGAAAACGAGCAGTAAATGAAGAATCTCATATAAAAAAACAGAAGAACGAAGAAGAAAAAAAAAAGAAAAAGAAAAAACAAAAGATCCTGCAGAAGTGCCTTCTTTTAGTGCAAGAAATAGCCAACATAATGGCTCAAGAACTGCCATAGTTTTCATTACATCAAATTTAATCAGTAAGTTGCAAGTTGCAACTGCAAAGACATTTCCCCCTGTGTTGAAAAATAAATAAATAACTGCTGAAGAAGGCTCCCTAGATGTTGTTTATAAATTTAATGAAACTAGTAGAAGCCAGATGTAAGGATTTACATCTTGACGAAGGCAAAGAGTCCCAGAATATAAAGCTGAAAGAATGGACTGATTCTAGGAGCAAATGTCAGTGGAGATTTAACTATGCAAATACTTTTGTTAGAAGTAGTCAATTGTTTTCGTTAGGATTTAGTTACAAGATTTTGAGTGGTTTACCCCAAACCTATTCTTTTAAACTAGGCTTTGGTTTACCCCAAACCTATTCTTTTAAACTAAGCTTTGTTATATTAGTGCACAAATTTGTAAAACATGAGGTTTAGTTTTTTGAGCTTTTCCCCCAGGAATCTTCAATGGTGCTATGACCTATGTTAGTATATATTCTACTGCCTGAGACTATATAAAGTAGAATTATACAACACACTCAGGATATGTTATGTAACAAGGAACTTTGAATATTAGAAACATAAAAGTAAGTCTCTTTGGAAAGAGTATTAGAAGAACAGAACTATCACCCTATAATGAAGTTCCAATGTGGAATAAAAAAGGAAAAAAAAACATAATAAACTTAAACGTTTCCATAATATATGCCATCTCCTACTATACATTATCATTCCTCTCTAATTAACAAAAAGTTGTAACATACTATAACACTCATGCTCTACAAGTACCTTTAAGGATTTTCCAAACAAGCTTCTAGTAAAAAATACCCTGGCTCCTATGTTCATCTTCATAATGATACTAGTAATAACTAAAGTAACAAGCTGACAGTTCAAAAAACAAAGAGTGCTTCCTTGCTATTAAATTTCTTCTTTAATATTGCTAGAGTACCTATGGAGACTCTGATGAGCTAAAAAATAACAACACCCATACTTGTCATTGTACTTACATACCTTATGGTTTTCTGAGTTTCTTGAATATAAGAGTCTTTCAGTCTGAAATTTTTTCATCAAATTTGTATGTGCTTTACTACCTCTCTCCCTACCTAATCCTTCTGGAACTCCAATTACATGTACTAGACTTTTTGACTACAGCACACTTGTCTCTTATGTTCTTTTTACTCTCTGAGCTACAGTTTGATTTTCCCTATTGTACTTTTTTTTTTAAGTTCCCTAATGCTGTCGTCTGCTGTATCATCCAGTCTGCTTGTTATTGAAACCCATTCAATGAATTCTTAATTTCAGATATATCATTATGCATTTTCAGCTAAAGAATTTTTTTCAGTAGATTCTATCTCTTCATCCATTTTGTTCATCTTTGACTACTGTTTCTAATATATTAATCAAATCATTTTCTTATCTGCTAGCTCCAATATCTGGATTATATGTGATTCTATTTTTTTTCTTGATTACCTGGATCATTTTCCTGCCTCTTTGCTTACCCAATAACTTGTGACTATATGCTGTTAATTATGAATAAAAAACTTATTTATAGTTTTACATACCTTAAGGAAGCTTTCCACATACTGCAGTAAATACACTCCACAATCACTGCTATTATCTTGTTTAGGAACTTTAGGGCATAGGTCCACCATGTTTGTTTTGCTGAATTCACGATGAGTTTTTCGTTTAACTTCCCACTCTACTTCTAAATACCTTAAGTCATCAAAAAGTACAGTGACTCTAATAGAAATCTCCTTACCATTATGCAACACTTTCATAAAGGTGGGAAAACATTTGCTGCCAGGTATGTTGCCTCAGGCCAAATTTCCAAAGACTAAACTTTTTTTAAATTCATTTTATTTTTTATTACACTATCACTGGTATACAATCTTATGAAGGCTTCACATGAATGACATTGTAGTTTAAACATTAACCCATATTATCAAGTCCTCACCATACCCCACTGCAGTCACTGTCTATCAACATAGTAAGATGCTATCATGTCATTAGTTGTTCCAAAGACTAAACTTTAACAGTACAATTTACTACATTGTGAGGCTTCCAGAGTCCTACTTTAAACAAAATCATCTTAATTTCAATAAAAGCCAGAATTTTTCCTACAATTCAACTTTCACAATTCATATATAATGCCATTTATATTACAAAGTAAACTAACAAATTGTTTTAAAACCTTAGTTGTTTTTTCCAGTAATTAGCAAATTACCAAATTACACACACACTTACGTGAAAAAGTTTTTACTTTTTCTGAAGTGTTACTTTTGATAACCACTAATATTTTGAATGTTTTTTCTTTCAATAATTAATGCAAATACCAAATGTACTTTTAATATAATCCTTGAGAAATATTAATACTTGAATATTAATGCAGATATTAATATGGAGACATTTATTGTTGATTAGATTTAGAGACATCATCTAAATACATAATAAACTATAATTCCTGATATCTTTTCAATAATTCTTAAAGTAGCTTCAAAATTATTCAGATTTCAGACAACAGATTGAGGGTAAAATTGTCATTACTTACTCTCGTAAATTCTGAACTGTGTTTTGTATAGAAGCAGCTTTCAAAGAGTCTAATATGAGAATGCATGGCCTATGAAAAGCAAAGGAAGAAATCAAGATGTATATATTTGTATATGAAGTAAACTTAAATATCTGAAAGGACTTTAGAGCATGTACATACCTTTTACACATTTTCTTTGGTATTGACATGTTCGTATCAGTACTCTGAAATAAACATGAATTTTTATGACTGTGCAATTAAAGCCAGTTTTAATAAATTAATATTCAGCTACTCTTCAAAGTGTTTCAAATGAATTTGAAAATTAAATTTCAAATAAGAGTTTTTTTCATCATCTGAAGTGAGTCAACTTCGTTTTCAAAATTTCATTGTTTTATTTTCTCATACTGGTGAAACAGTAGTTCATACACTTTTACATGAGGCCTCAAGAAGTTTTGGACCTTTAACACTGCCTAAAAAACAATCTGGAACTCTGATTACTTTTCTTCAGTTATCATCTTAAACAAAAATAAACAAGTTAATTTAATCTGTTCTTAAATATATTCTCTAACTCAATATATGATGCAGGTGGAGACACATTTCTTCCCTTTGAAGCACAAGAAGCAGAGCATTAATGGGTATTCAGGGAAAAGGGATGGGTGTTTTGCTGTTTTTGTTGATAAATTTGAGAAATAACAGATCAAACTTAAACAGATTCTTTAATGCAGAACTTCTCAGTACCTTTATTATTCTAACATAACATTGTTAATCTCCGAGACAGGAATAGGACACAGGGTTTACTCAACTTAATTGACCACAGAATCCTTTTTATCATAATCTGCATCTCAGAACAAGTATCCCAAGGAAACCAACCTGGGAAACCTGGTTCTAGAAGCAAAACAGAACTCTCCTATCCTGCCACTGTGATGGCAGAAAAGGAAAATTCTTTCCTTCAGCCCATCCTATGCCAGGGAAGACATAGGCCTGTGCCAAGGAGGCTGCTGCTGTCTGTATATATAATAAAAAAAAATCAGTAGGTGGCTACTTTAATCAATTAAGACACCAAATCTAGACCACGCATAGTAGTTTAGAGGTCCATATAAAGAAAAGTTAGCCTCAGGAGTTATATGGATTAACCTTGAATCTACTTTGAATGATTTTTACCAACAACTCACAATAATAGAAAGTAGAATTTAAAACATGCTTGCTTAGATTATTAATTACACTAAGTTCAAAAAGCTGTTGACATAATGAAGAATAAAAATACATCTGACCCTTAGATATCAGGAAAGTAGCCAACCAAGATGATCAGATAAACTACTAAATAAACAAACCAAGGGAGCTACACTAAGCTAAACAGATCCAAGAAGAATGGTAATTTCTCTTGTCCTCTTTCCTACGCCCACAAAAAATATAAGAATCATAAAACAGCAGAATTATGGTCCAGCAATATCCATCACTGCTCATCTAGCTATTCTTTATCTTACAGATAAAACTATTATATTGATAAGTTTTCCTTCCTTCACATCTGTAAAGAACACACTTACTTGAGAATCCTCAGTACCCAAGGATAGTGCTGAAGTAGTCTGTAGATCATTATCTAGTTAGAAATAACAAAGCAATTATGAGTGTTTATTCTACATCTAATCAAACTATTTATATAAGGTTTTGGCCAGTATTAATAGTAATGGCTATTATTAATTCTGCTTGCCACTTACAGCTACAGCTATAAAACACATAATTTTGATTTTTTTTTCCTCAAAGAAAGTAGATTTATTTGCTTACTTAAGGTTTGGATTGTAACATAAAAAAAATCACGGAAGAATTATAAGAGAGCTGATATTGCCTTGCTAAATTACTATTATCAGTAATAATTGTTTTCATTTATATTAAGAAAAAAATGGGGTATTTCAAGGTATGCCTGAAGATATATGGCATGAGTTCTCAATCATATTAGCAAGATTACTCTATAAAAAGGCTATGATAAAACTTGACAGTGTAACTTCAGACTTACATTTTGTCAATAAATGAGGCTTGCATGTATCATGAATATTTCAGACTTCTTATTCTTTCTTCTAATAAATGTAGTCACAACAAATCACTTTCTCTTAACTTCATACTGTTTGCTACAATCATTTTACTATTGTCATTTTTGAAAATGCCATCAATGTTAAGTAAACAGCAAGTTTAATCACCTATTGTTTTGTTGTCAAGTTGGGATTGCTGAGGCTGGGAGGGCTGTGACGTAGTTTGTGGAATATCTTCATATACAGCTTCTTCTAACCATGGAAAACAAATGACGGCAAGGTACCAGTGAGACCTGTTGAAAAAGAAATACAATCTTAATAACCCAAAAATCTAAACAATGTAGAATATATTCTAGAGCTACAGCTTAGAAAGTGGGTATGACAAACTTTGTATCAATTTTGAAGAAGACCATGGTAATATCTGATATAATATAGAATACACATTCCAAAAGCAATTAAAGTAGTAAGACAACTTAGGGTAAAGTTTGAGTAATTCAAACTTGCTTACTTTTATATAATCTGTGTTCCCTGTTGAGGATATGTTTTAATAAATAGACTCATAGCATCACCTTTTTTCTATTAATGCTAGAAACCTTGTTCTCCTAAATATTTGAAGATTCATCCTAAATTTTTAAATTTTTTTATCTAGAAAAATCTTTTGACCCACCCCAAAATTCAATTTCTCATTCATTATAGTCTTGTGGGCATTTGTCATTTTTTTTCACTATATTTATAACATAACCACTTTCAAATCAAAATCCAAGATAAATAACTCACTGTTTTAGCTAATTCTTTTAAAAAAATTAAAAATAACATGAGATTTATGTACCCACACTTTTAACTGATTATTAAACTAAAAATATACAAAAATATTTTTCTAAACTCTATCCAACTATGTTTTTAAATAATCTGAAATACTCACGACTCATTAACAGGCACAAAGATATAGTCTTTATTAAAGATGTTTATGTGACGAGTCCATGTCCTTACTCTTTTATGCCTTCTCTGTGCCATTCTGGGAATATGAGAAATAGATATATTTGATATGTAAAAAACTAAAATTTAAGATAAGGATTTCAAGAGCCCTTTTTAAATACTGAAAAATGCAGGTTTAGTGTATTTAACCATCTTCTTTAAGATACATATTTAACACACTAGAAAATCATCTCCTTTTATTAACTCCTGATTTTTCTTAAATCTGATCACTATAAATAATAATGTAATGGAGAGAAGAAAGGAAGCAATTTATAAATATTTTAAAGATTCCGAAAGTGGCTTAGCAAGTAAATAAAAACAGCTATACCTATTCATGCCTTTTAGTTTCACCTGGGCATGGCACAAAACATTGTCATTAAACCTTAACAGAATTATCTAAATGTTGTATCTGTAATGAGGGAGGAGTTTAAACTTACTAGAAAAGAAAGAGCAAGGAATATATTCTGGGATTTTTAAAAGATGAAACTCATCTCCCTTCATTTCATTTATAAGGAAACTATAAGACAATGAGGTGAGCATACCTACCATTTATCCATCTTACATTTTATTTCTTTAACAAATATTTATTAGATTCCTAAGAACAAATAATGACTATCACCCACACTGCCCTAAAGGAATTTACAAAATAATGAGGATAGAAAAAAACTGCAACAAATAACTAAAATATAAGTGTCAAAAGGACAGTGGCATAAAGGAGGTTGTATGTCACTTCTGGCTCAGCCCCTTGAAGGACCTCTTGTTATGTAGGGAATTAAACAAAATCATTAAGTTATATACTTACATATCAAGTAATATAAGAAACAGATCATCTTTGCCCCATCCCAGTTCATCTATATATCTAACCAAACTCACAGGGGTAAACATTAGGAGTAAGATGGGAATCCATAATGGGCTAAAAGATGTGGTAGGAATTAGACACTATATGGAAGATTAACTTCATAAAATAATCAAGAATCATGTTTACTGAGTTTTATTTCATAATTACCCAACCATTACAATGATAATAAATAGTTACTTTCAACTAGTGCATAGTCTCTCAAATTTGTTTTCCATTTGAAAATCTTGTTTTCTTGTATTTTGTTATACTGCTGTATGGCAGGCTTCCTAATTATGCTAACCATATTTTACTGGGAGTATGTTAGATATTGGATGGGGCAAGGAGGATGGAATAGATTATGTGGGCCACAATATGATCTTTTATTTTCAGTTCCCAAATTGTGTAAAAAATCTTCAATATCCAAAAGTTCTCTTCCTACTCAATAATATACATTATTATGTTTCATTTTGAATTCCAAGCACTGAAACAAAAGGCATTACGGATGGAGTAGAAAATTAAGACAGATGACATCACCTCATAGAGCTTATACTTCGGGGTGAGAGACAAAATGAACAAGCAAACAAACAAATAAATGATTAGAGATCATGTTGTGAAATAAGTAATAAAGTATCAGGAGAAATTTTAGTCAGAAAAATAGAAAAGGGCTTAGTGAAAGGAATTAAGTTGAGCTGAGATATGGTAAATGAAGGAAGAGAATGTTGTGAAATGAGTTTAGGGAGATGGACAAAAGTCAGACCTTGCAGGATCCCATAGTAATGAATTTCTGTGTCATTTACTCTGTTACTTCCTAACACTAGTGGTTTGTGACTCTTGGATTTATTAGCCATTAAAGTTTGTATCTTTTGGCACTTTGTTTCTGTGTTATCTTTTTTTTTTTAACTCATCTGTAGGAATTCTTTGTGTGAATAGAAATTACATACCTATCAGAGCATGCATTAGTAGGAAATATTAGCATGTGTAGGTGTAAGTGTGTATATACACATATGTGTGTGTATATCTGTATATATAAGATACTATACATGTATAGTATCTATAGTATCTTACATATATCTTACCCTTGAATATGCCACTCACGTAACTTTGTTTTGTACTACTTTTATATATGATCATGAATATAACACTTAATTAAAAAAATATTTTTTAATTTAAAAATACAACTTAATCTACCTACTTTCTTCAGTTTCTAAGTAGGTGTACCAAATTAATTATCTCCACATTGATCAGTAATCTTAAAATGTGGGATCAAATGCATTGTACCAACCATTAATCTCCAAACACATCATAAAACAGAACAGAGGAGCAACAGAAATGTTAAATTCAAATTTATTTTTAAAAATCTTCCCTCTCCATTTACACTGATTATCAGCTAATTATGCAAACAAATATGGTATTTTGTATAATGTTAAATCAGTTTAATAGTAATATGTTAGTGAGGGTCTGACAGGAAAACAAAACTACTCTATATATTTACAACAATAAACTATAATGCTAGAGGATTGGATACAGTGGTGACAGAAAAAGTATAAAGCTAAAAAAGGAGGCAGTGAAGTAATCAAACATTAGCATAGTAGGAAACTGCTATACCCATAGGATGAAGGGTAAAGGAAAGAGACAGTACCTCCAGATGGAAGCTGGTGAAGAGGGACCCACAGAGGAAAGATGGCCACTGCCAGAATCACTGCACGACTCAATGAGGGTAAGGAAGAAATGAACTGGCTTCTTCCTTCCTTGCCCTCCAATCTCCAGTGTTGCCCACATAACATACAATTAGAAATTCAGCCTGTAAGTACCAGCCTCCCTCTGACAGGGAACAAAATAACGGAAGGGTGAGAAATGTCTCTCAGAGCAAACAGGCCCAGGACTTCACAAGAGATAACATTGCTCATTCTAAAATATACTATGAGAAGTTATTTCATGAAGTGCATCAAAATAGTGTATTTTTCTCTTAGAATTTAAGTACATTGGAAGATAGACTTACGAAAGATTTGGATTATCTTCTGTTAAATTATTTTCCTTTCTCGTCAAGCATTTATAGAAAAAGCTACTAAAAATGTGACTTCGTTCAACAAGTTCATCTGAAGCCTTCTCCAGTATAAGATACCTATAAAGTAGCAATACCACAAAAGTAAGTTATTTTTAGATTTTACCTGTCTTCCCTCAAGTATCCTATGTGTTCTGGAAATCTTCATTGTTATGTCTAATTAGACTCAAAGCAATCTTGCATTCTGCTCTGATTTCAGCTTTCTTTGTTCTTTACTTACCTCACCTGCTGTCAAGATCATTTAAAGCAGAAATTATCCACTTATTTATTTAACAAATATTTATCAAATTCCTAACAGGTGCCAAGCACCACATTTACATTAGAAACACTAAATGAGAGTGGGAGGGGGGGAAGTACCTGCCCCCACAGAGCTTAGACTCCAGAGGACAGAAGGAAAATATTAATCCAATAATCACACATCAAATGTAAAACTGAAAGTATGGCACTCCTAAATAAATGTAGAAAAATTTTAATTACTCTATGACTAATTTATAAATCCTTATTAGATACCATTTCTATACTAAAACAATTCTTCAACATAAGCTTGCAATTCACTTAGTGTTTAAACCCTTCATAATTAGAGAGCTCTGTTATACTTAATAGCTTATGCAGGTTCAAAAATAACCTTGTAATTGCTTTCAAAAAAATCATAAAAGAAAGACACAAACTTGAATTTTTTTAGCATGGTTACGGGGAGGGAATACTACATGGAAGGAAATACACAGGATGCTTCTGATGTACTGTTATCTTGATCTGAATTATTATTACATGGGCGCATACATATGTGAACATTCATTAGCTGAACATTTAAGATTTATGTAACTTAGCACCTGAAAGTTATTCAATTTAAAAAATAGAAAGTAGTTTAAAAAATAAAATTAGAATCCCCTCTAAAAAGAAATCAAGACAGAGATACAAGCAGTTCATTGAAAAGGAAGTACAGAAAAATACTATTAGAACTGAGTCAAAAGTAAAATTTTATTAGCTAACCCAGTAAAACATACCAAAATTAACATTTAAGATGATCCAATTCATCTCACAAAATTTAAATTTTACTATCCAAGATACAAAAATAAGTAAAATAAGATGCTTAACCTTTAGAAGAATGATCACAATACCACCAAATGTCTTTAAAATAAGGCAAAATTAAGTACGATAAAAGAGATGCCAGTGAAGGACTATGGGAGTTACTAATAGATGTTTAGAAGATTAGGAAAAATTTCATGAAGATACCACTTGAAAAGAACCTTGAAAAAGGAATAAAATTTCAATAGGTTGAGATAAAGAGAAGAGTACTGCAGGAAGCAAGAATGACAGGGTATTAAGATAAAAGTGAATAAGGATGGGCTTTGTTTACTAAATGGTTTATAATTCAATTTTGCTGGCCTATGTAATATGTGTAGAGTTATTGGTAGATGGCTAAAAAGACAGATCAGTGTCATATTATCAAGACCTTCAAATGCCAAACTATGTTTGAACTCATTTTGACAGGCAATAAGAAATTAACTAAAAGTTTCTAATGGGAACTGCATTCATAGAGTAGTTTAAGAATAATAATAGTGGTAATAATGGATAGGAAAACAGAGACCAAGGATATAAAGAGACTAGTTAAAAAGACAAAATAACAATTTAGGTAAGATACAGAGTACTGGAATGATCATGATGACAGAAGAAAGAATAAATAAATTTGAGAGACAGAACTTACTAAAATTGGCAACTAAACATGCAGAGAGGAAAGGGAAGGTAAAGAATCAATGGTAATGCAGACCCATTCCCACCCAAGACAGAATAACAGGGACCAAATTTACTCTCCTGATTGTAATGAGCAAAAAAATCAGGTAAAGTATGTGAAACAATAGCTTCAAAACAGTAGGCATCAGGCAAAAAGAGAACAGCGATCCTTGAGAAATGAGAAACAAGGTGAGTTCCATTAATGCCTGAGCTTACTGCCATAAGTCTCCAGGCTGCAGCACAAGAAGGAGTAACCCAAGAAGAACCGGGAAGACTCCCTAAATTGAGGAGATGATGAGAGTCAGGAGGAAAGTAAAGTAGCTAGACTATGCAGATCAAAATACCAGAAAGGAAAGAGCTGTCTGTAGAGAGAAGTCCATATAGGTGCAGAGTCCTCAAGTACTTAGCAAAATTTTGATCATTGCATGCTTGTAAGGAAAATACCTATGACTGAGGAAAGAACTACCTGAAAGACCAGAGGGAATGGTACCCAGCATTCATACACGTTGTTGGAATAATGCCTGTTCCTACAAGCCAGGCTGGAAAACCTCATAATTCATGAGGCATTGAGCAGAAGATATAAAAAAAATCCAAATCAAACTTCAAGAGACTTTACAATGCCTGAGATGAAGAGTAAATGATAATGTGAGATTTTTGAGCCTGAGAGAGTAGAATTAGTATTATTAATAGGGTTTAAGCAAGAAGATAATAAATTTGGCTTGCGGGAGATCAGTGAATTAGGAAACATCTCAAAGAGTTGTGAAATAATTAGGTCTAGGGATATAGTACGAAATGAATGCCAGAAACAAATTATCTTTGTATTAAAGTTCATAAAACTTTCCTATCTATTCCTTCAGCTTGACTGTACAAAAAGATGAAAATTATTTTTAATGGAATAGTGATAGGGATTCTTTAAATGACAGTTAACTCTTATAGTACTTAAAGATACAACAGATAGCTACAGAGTTGCTTCTTTCCAGTTCCCAAAGTGGTTTGTATTTATGTAAGTACTTCCTTCACCACAAAAACACAATAGTCAAAGAAGAATAAATCAAAAACAAATAAACAAAAACTAAACCAAAAAAAAAGAACAGTAATTCTTCTGAAGTATATTGTATCTATGGGGAGTAAAGGAAAGAAACTGAGTCAATACTGTTGATTAACTGATGTTGGTAGGCAAAATTTTTTTCGAATCTGCAATCTTGGCAGGTAACTTGTGGTTAGAGTTAAGTACTTCAGAAATAGACAATTACTTTATAATTCATATCAAAACCTATAAAAAATGAGAAGATCATTTATCATTATACTTACTTAAGATAGAAATCAATGATTACATCATTAAGAAACTCCCCTTCTTCTAAGCACTCCAGATCTTCACTAGTTACTCCTAGTCCCCCTTTAGTAGGTGGTGGAGGATACACAATCAACCTTAAAAAGTAAAAATAAATATCAAGTTATTAAAAAATTGAAATAAACTTGAATGGAAAATTCTAGTATCAAAGAGATATGTGTTACAGAATAGTAACAGGGCAGTGGTATTCAATAATTAAAATGTGTAGGGTAAAAAATATTTAACAGGATTTAAGCTATTACATTTTCCTAATTTATTTATTAATAGTTATTAATAGTACTAATAAGTAGTTAGTATTAATAACTAATTTAGTTATTAATAGTACTCTCATTGAGTATCTTTTCATTTCCAGTCCTTCCCACCTGAGCTAGTGTTAATATTTAACTAATCAATAGGTTGTATCTCATAATCAGTTACAGTTACACACAATGTTAACTTCCAACAAACTGATGTGAAAAACCATAGAAGATTTTCCTATGCTTCATTTTCCAACTCAGTTTGAATCCCTAAGGTTAGTTCCTTTCCATTCAAAAGAGCCATAAATCAAAAACTATGCTCTTCTACTTGTGGCTAGTCTACAATAGCAACAGGGCAATAAAGAAATAACATGAGAGCTTAGAAGACAAGTTTTCCCTAACATAGTGCTTACAATATAAAACTTAAGAGAACATAAATGAAATGAACAATTAGAATATAACCAGTGTGGAAAAGTAGAAAACAGATGACAACTAATTAGGCATCTTTCTCTGGAAGCCTCCATTAAACCTCACTCATAAGAGCACAACTATTCTTTGTAGTCAATTATAGTCAATTTCTGACAATAATCTTGGAATAGGGTGGTGCTTGTTGCACAAATGTAGTTAATAAACTTGTAATATGTACTTCTTGAACCAGAAAGATTCAGGAAGATAAGGGTCACCTGTAATTTGATTTTATCTTTGTAACCCTGGTACCTAAATCAAATAAGAATATTTAAAAATTTCAAATGCTGATACAATAATTACACTTTTATTGACTATCTTCCTATTCTGCTTTCATTTGTTTTAACAGAGAAAAAAAATCAGAGGAATAGAAATCACCCTCAACTGCAGATTTCCTATTCTGGCTTAACACCATGAGAAGACATGTAAAAGACAAAATCTGAACAAAGAAGCAACTTCTGAAAGGTTAAGTTTTGATACACCCCCAAAGTACCTTAAACTGAAGCACATTTTAATAAATAATTTCACTTTTCCTATCATATATTCAGATATGAAATACATAGTTTTAAAAACCACATGCTGCTACTCAAATATATTCAATAAATGCTTTAATATTACCAAACTTGACATTTGGGTTGTCATTTATGTTTTACTGAGATAAAACTAAGTGAAATGATACCAATTGTTTCCCTAAGAAAAATTCCTTACCTTTTTCATAAAAAATAATTATTCCTATTATTAACTATTAGCATGAAATCAAAACTCAAAACATTTAAAACTACTTAAAATCAGCACCATGAATGAAAACTGCTAACGTGCCCACCAGTTACTAAATGGGATATAACATAGTACTTACTTCTGAACAGGTCCAGTGTGTCTGACTTCTCGCCATTCTTCATCTGGATTAGATGTAATAGAAAGTGAGTAGCAACCACTACTCTGCTTCTGCAGGAAGGTGTAAGTAGGCTTGGGTGTATCCATATTTGTGGGCTGACAGAAAATGGCAAAGAAAAAGGTCTTCTTATAGATACATATTAATTCTCAAAAGGACAAAGTAAAAACCTAGACTTTTAAGAGAAAATGTGAGCAAAAGCAGTATTGATGAATTTCACCTATACTTCTATAATTTCTCAAGGATATAACCAAATCAAAATTATACTTTGGTCAAAAGATACTACATATACAACAGTCACAGTTTACCATGAAGTGTCACATATCTGGGCTTTATAATTAAGAATTTGAAAACTTTTCAGGTTAAAATGAACAAAAGAGGTGATAAATAGTAGGAAAAAATAAAATTTAAAAGAGAGACTGGAAAAAGTTTATAATAAAGTAAATTGGTATTCTATTATTAAATGAAAAGCATGAAAACTTGTATATACAATATAATTACCATGCAAAATTTTTGCCAAAGTATGCATAAAGAAAGATGGCAGTATAAGAGAAAAAAGATGGCAGCATGAGAAGTATGGTAGAAAACTCCCAAAACCACATATATTTTGAAAACACAGCAAATACAACTAGTCCTAAAAGAGAGACCAGAAATAACAGCCAGTATACATCTGGGAGAAGTCAACAACTCACAGAAAAGGGTAAAGTGAAAAGCTGCGACATGGCGGGACCCAAGCACTTCCCCTACCCCAGCTCACAGGCAGAAGGAAGAGAATCAGAGTGTGGAGGGAGTGGAAGCACAGGACTGCTAAATATCCAGGCCTAGAAATCTACCCTGGGAGAAAAGACCCACACTGCATGGTGCTCTGGAGATTAGAGGGGCTGAAAACCAATGTCGGGGACTAAGACTGCAAACAGGTTCCAACAACCAGCTGTCCTATGACAAAAGAAAAGCAGGCACTTTAAAAGACTCCTAAACAGTCAGAAGGCTGCTAAACGGGGGCAAGGGTTTTTATGAGAAGAAACAGGTGGACAAAATCATCGTAGTACACTTAGCCCAGCAGGTTGGAAACTTTCAGGAGCTCAGGTGCCCTATTCTCCTGGAAGGCAATGAAGTCCAGAGGACCATCACCACGATAAGCAGACTGCCGCTCATTCCTCCGAGCCAGCACCTATGCTGTCAGCATCATTGCAGAAGAACAGCAAGAGGGCAGCACCACCTACAGCAACTACACAGCTAAATGCAGAGGCTTCTTTCTGCGTGAGGCTAAATGGCACATACAGCAGAAATAGGCACAGCAACCAGGAAGCATGAAAGGGCTTTGCCCTCCTTGCAAATAACCACACCACTTGCCTGCGATCCCCACCATCACCTAGGTCAGCAGGAAGACAGCCCCAATCATGGCAGCATAGGGGATTAACCTAGAGGACACTCTTGGTGCCCGGTTGACCACCACAGACAGTGGAGACAGGCATTGCAACCAGAAAGCAAAAGAGGGCTTTCTCCTCCTGGCAAAACCCGCACCACTCACATAGGACCCGCACCATTGCCCTAGGCCATCCTGAGGGACATCCCATACACAGCAGTTTAGATGATTAACTGAGAGGCTGCTCCCTGGGTTGGTTAACCAGCATAGAGAGTAGAGACAGGCACTGCGACTGGCAAGCAGGAAGGGACTTTATCCTCCTAGCTGATACCTGCGCCACTGGCTGGAAACCACTCCCATCGCCCCAGGATGCTGGAGAGGTAGAAGAACCTTGTTCAATTCAAAATCCCTCAACACCAGACAGAGGACTCAGTGAAACTGAAATCACCAATATTCCTGAAGATGGATTCAAAATAAAAGTCATAAGCATGCTAATGGAGATACAGAAAGATCTTCAAGAGCTAAGGGATGAAAGAATTCAGGAGGGAGATAACTGAAATGAAACAAACAATGGAGGGATTTAAAGGCAGATTAGATGAGGTGGAAGAGATAGCTAATGGAATATAAATCAGAGACCAGGAATACAGAGAACTTGAAGCAGAGAGAGAAAAAAGGATCTCAGGGGCTGAAAGAATATTAAGAGAACTGTGTGACCAATACAACAGGAAAAATACCCACATTATAGGGGGTACTAGAAGAAGAAGAGAGAGAAAATGGGAGAGAAAGTGTCTTTGAAAAAATAATTGCTGAAAACTTCCCCAATCTGAGGAAGGAAATAGTTTCTCAGGCCATGAAAGTCCACAGGTCTCCCAACACAAGGGACCCAAGGAGGACACCACCAAGACATATAATAATTAAAATGGAAAAGATCAAGGACAAGGACAGAGTATTAAAATCCCCCAGAGAGAGAAAAAAAGAAGACCTACAAAGGAAAACCCATCAGGCTATCATCAGAATACTCAGCAGAAACCATACAGTCCAGAAGGGAGTAGCATGATATATTCAGTGCAATGAAACAGAAGGGCCTCAAACCAAGAATATTCTATTCAGCGAGATTATAATTTAAATCTGAAGGAGGGATTAAACAATTCCCAGAGAAGCACAAGTTGAGGGAATTTACCTCCCACAAACTGTCTCTACAGTACATTCAAAAGGGACTGCTCTGTACGGAAGTGTGTCTCAGGCTAAATAGCTGTCACCAGAGAAAATAAAACCACACTAAAGGAAGTAGACCAAATAAATATTAACCAAATGCAAAATTAAATCAGCTACCTACAAAGTCAGTCGAGGGATACAGAAAGAGTACAGAATATGACACCTAACATATACAGAGTGGAGGAGGAAGAAAAAGAAGGGAGTGAAAAAAGAATCTTCACACTGTATTTTAATAGAGTAATAAATTAGTTAAGGTAGACTGCAAGAAAGCAAAGAAGCTGCCCTTAAACCTTTGGTAACCACAAATCCAAAGCATTCCATGGCAGTAAGTACCTATACACCAATAATAACCATAAATGTAAATGGTATGAATGCACCAATCAAAAGACCTGGAGTTACACAATAGACAAAAAAGCAAGACCCACGTTAACGCTGCCTACAAGAGACTCCCTTCAAACATAAAGACATACACAGACTAAAACTGAAGGACTGGAAAAAGATATTTCATGAAAACAATAGGGAGAAAAAAGCAGGTATTGCAGTACTTGTATCAGATAAAATAGACTTCAAAACAAAGAAAGTAACAAGAGACAAAGAAGGACATTACATAACAATAAAGGGGTAAGTCCAACAAGAGGATATAACCATTATAAATATCTATGCACCCAACACAGGAGCACATATATACATGAAAAAAACATGGACAAAATTAAAAGGGGAAATAGAATGCAATGCATTCATTTTAGGAGACTTCAACAGACCACTCACTCCAAGCACAGATCAGCCAGACAGAAAATAAGTGAGAAGACAGAGGCACCGAACAACACATTAGAATAGATAGACTTAACAGACATCTACAGAACACTCCACCAAAAAGCAACAGGATACACATTCTTCTCAAGTGCACACAGAACATTTTCCAAAACAGGTCATATACTAGGCCAAAAAAAGAGCCTCAGTAAATTCAAAAAGATTGAAATTGTACCAACCAGTTTCTCACACCACAAAGGTATGAAACTAGAAATAAATTGTAAAGAAAACAAAAAGGCTCACAAACATATGGAGGCTTAGCAACATACACACAAATAATCAATGGATCAATGACCAAACTGAAACAGAGATCAAGCAATATATAGAGACAAATGAAAACAACAGGTCAATACCCCAACTTCTGTGGGATGCAGGGAAGGCAGTTCTAAGAGGAAAGAATATAGCAATTTAGGCCTGTCTTAAAGAAGGAAGTACAATCCCATATGAAAAGCCTAAATTCAAAACTAATGAAACTGGAAAAATAACAAATGAGGCACAAAGTCAGTAGAAGGAGGGACATTATGAAGATCAGAGAATAAATAAATGATATTGAGAAGAATAAAACAATAAAAATAATTAATGAAACTAAGCACTGGTTCTTTGAGAAAATAAACAAAACAGATAAACCCCTAGCGAGACTCATCAAGAAAAAAAGAGAATCTATACACATAAACAGAATCATAAATGAGAAAGGAAAAATCAGTACGGACACCACCAAAATGCAAAGAATTGCTGGAGAATACTATGAAAAATTATATGCTAACAAACTGGATAACCTGAAAGAAATGGACAACAGTCTATAAATATACAACCTTCCAAGACTGACCCAGGAAGAAACAGAAAATCTAAACAGACCAATTACCAGCAATGAAATTGACTCAGTAATCAAAAAACTACCAAAGAACAAAACCCCAAGACCATATAGATTCACCGCCAAATTTTATCAGAAATTTAGAGAAGACATAATACCACTCTCCTTAAAGTTTTCCAAAAAGTAGAAGAGGAGGGAATAATTCCAAACTCATTCTATGAAGTCACAATCACTCTAATACCAAAACCAGGTAATGACACCACAAAAAAGAAACCTAAAGACCAATATCCCTGATGAATATACATGCAAAAATACAAAGGAAATATTAGACACCAAATACAAAAATACATCAAGAGGATCATATATCATGAAAAATTGGGATTCATCCCAGGGATGCAAGGATGGTACAACATCTGAAAATCCATCAACATCATCCACCACATCAACAAAAAGAAGGACAAAAATCATATGATCATCAAACACAGGTGCTGAGGAAGCATTTGAAAAAATTCAACACCCATTCATGATAAAAACTTAACAAAATGGGTATAGACGGCAAGTACCTCAAAATAATAAAGGTCATATATGATAAACTCACAGCCAATATTATACTTAACAGGAAAAAGCTGAGAGATTTTCCTCTAATATCGGGAACAAGACAAAGATGTCCATTCTCCCCACTTGTATTCAACATAGTACGAGAGGTCTGAGCCACCGCAATCAGGCAACACAAAGAAATAAAAGGTATCCAGATTGATAAGGAAGAAGTTAAACTGTCACTATTTGCGGATGACATGATATTATACATAAAAAAAACCTAAAGAATGCACTCCAAAACTACTAGAACTAATACCAGAGTTCAGCAAAGTTCCAAGATACAAAATTAACAAACAAAT